CTTGGCACGTTGACTTCACCTCCCAGAATTCTTAGGGCTAACATGACTGGAGGTGAAATTCTGGGAGTCCACAAGTCTTAAAGCTGTCAAGTTGGAAGACCCCTGCCCTAGGTAATATCATCATCATGATGCATTGATGGTGTCACCTAGTTTGGTCATGAAATGTCTGGAGAGTACCAAAGACCATACAAATGCAACTCAACTTGCAGGGCCTCCCTTCCCTCAATGCACCGAAGACAGCAGGAGAGCCAATCAAGATGTTCACTAGATATTTTTGCCCTGCCCTACATGTTCTGTTTCTTCCCTTGAATTTCCAAACAGGAAGGAACCCTTTAAGTTCTTTTTCCTATACTCCCAAAAAAGTTCAACTGGGGCAAGTACAGATGGCTCTTCTTTCTTTTAACCGTCAGGTCTTCAGAAAACCCCGGGGCTGTAGGCTAGGCTGAGAAGTTAGGAAATCAACATATTTTGGAAGATAGCAGTGGCAAAACCCTTCCCTGCCTCTGTCTAGAAAAATCCATGGACGTGCCTATAAAATTTCCAGAATCTGATCGTGACTTGGAGGAGGAATTTCAGCTTCTGGATGTTTTTCAACCCCCCAAATTAGCCATTCTTGTTGGAAAAATTAAACCCACCCAGCCTTCCTGTTGGGGAAATGAAAACAAGACCTTCTTCCCCGTCCCAGGTTCTCTAGAGAACAGAAAGGGAAGACAAAATAGGAAGCTAGAACAGCGGGACAGGAGAAAACACAGATCCTTGATTGTCACCTCAGATCTCATCAGATAACAGCATGCACCCATGGACAGTGGCTGCAAAAATTTTGCAGCGGTGATTACGAGGATGCTAAAATGGCTACTGGTTATTGCTCGGAGTTTTTCGGGCAATAATGAAAATGTTTTAAGATGCCCACCTCCTCTGGACCTGTGACAGCCATCACAACAGCAAATTATCTCATTAACACAAACAGTCTCGAGATGGCATCGTTCCGATAAGTGCCGCGTTTTATGGAATGCTCATGTGCTGGAAGGTTACCACTCCTTCGTATTTTTGTCCTTATCCTCAATCCTGGAGCCAACTTCTTCCACATTTAGCAGGGCTTCAATAGCATTTTCACCTCCCTTGCTTCAATGCAAGTTCCTTTCACGAGAAAAGCCGAAACAATCTTAATAAAAATCATCACGCTCAAGTATATGCTATCAGGCACGTCTCCCCATCATTAAACACGGAATCAAACCTCATTCTGCTATGCAATATTTTTTTTTTGCTTTTATGTGTGAAACAATTCATTGCAAACCTGCCCTTCGTTGCCCGGATTGCAAAGGTTTCTCCCCTCTCCTTCGACATAGCAAGCCGAGGATTATTTTATCCCCAGCTTATTTTAAAACCCGTTTGAAATTCACAGGGAGGGCTTCTGCACACTCACATACATGCAAACACACATTTTATATTTGTCTTTGCCCCTCTCTCATTTTTGCAAAAAAAACAGACGCCTTTTTAAAATTTCCCCTCCCATCTTTCCAGGCTTCAGCCCTGATCTTAAACATTTTTATAGGTAAGATAACTGTCCACTTGGCAAAGCTGGACCCTGGGACTCAAATGTCTCTGTACTGCATCTCAGAACAGCTTCCATATTGCATGTTGTGTCTGCCTTTCAGCCAGACTGGGGGAAAAAAACCCAGGATTTTCCAGCCTCTTTTGAAATGGAAACACTGCCTTTGAATGGACTGAGAACTTCGCCTCGATGCTCAGGGTGATAAAAGTGCAAATCCTGGTCACTACAATTAATACAGCCCTGCGTATATTATCCACGTGCATGGATTTGCACCAATCGCCTTTATATTTGTTTTTTTAAAAAAAAACAGAGAAGGGGTAGGGGGAAAAAAAAAACAGAGGAGACCCAAAGTTTAAAGTGCTTTGGCGTTCACCTTTTGCAATTCACAGCCTCATAATAGAAAACGAGAGCAAGAGACCGAAAGGATTTTTATCAGAATGTCATTCAAATAAAAGGTTTAGCATTTACATCACAAGAGCTAGCCGGGAGAGTCGAGCCTCCCCTGAAGGGAAAGAAATGCCAGGAATAAACATTGGAATAATAAAATAATAACATGTATATGTATGTAACGGAGGAAAAAGTAGAGGTTTTATTCATATTTTTTTTTCAAGGAACCTCAAAGCGGACAATGGGATGGAGTCTTCAGAAAAGCTCTATTAACACATCGAAAATAAATGGAACGTTAACGTCCCTGAAATGACACGGTTTCAGTTTTTTTAAAAAAAATCCATAAATGTCACAAATCAGAGGAATAACAAAGGTTGAGTGGCAGGCTCTAAATAAGACAGATGGAATGAGAAAATTTGTCCTTCTTGCATAAGGGAATAAATTAGTTGTGCCTTAAATTTATTTTAGTCTTCTGCTAACAGGTGATTTTGTTTTAAGAGGCAGGTGAGGATGGAAGCTAGTTTTTATGACGTGTTTTTTTTTAAAAAAAAAATTCTGGGCAGCCTTTGCAATGTAAACAAAGACGTTATATTTATGTGAAGCGAGTTTTTTTTTTTAAATGTTTAATTCTGTTCCGGATCTCTTCCAATGTGCGGCACTTTCTCTGCTGAATTGCTGCTGAATTTGTTAGTCCACAGCTGATTTCCTGTATTAGAAAGTCTTAGAGATTATGGTTAACTTGAAGAAACAGCTAAATTTTTTGATACTTATCCCAATATAAAAAAAGCATAATGTGTTTAGGGCGTTACCTGAAGACTGTAGTTCAATAGTGCCCCCTGCTGTAAGACTATATTAAAGGAGATATATATACATACATACATACATACATACATACATACAAATAAATAAATAAATAAATAAATAAATGTTTGGGACTTGGGACAGGTATGAAAGGGAATAAGGAAGAGAGAACATGTCAGAAGTCTTAACGATAATAAGCAAGAAAAATTATTTAAGGGTTTTGGCGAAAACCAACCGGCTTTACGAAGGATGATTCACTCCTGTCTTTTGCAATGGCTCCAATGAATGGCGGCTCACGCACACCAAGGCATGAAGTTGTTCGTTCAAGATTTAAATTAGAAGCAGCTTCTTTCAGCTTGATCATTAAAAAACAAGGCTTTCCCAGATCCCTGATAAATATCACCTCGAGTCCCTCTGAAAGGCGATAGGCTCTGTTTCTAATTAAACCCACATGGCAACAACACCCCATTTGTAAAGAACGCGGCCCTTGAGAATTCCTTGGGCAGGAGAGATTTTTTTCCATGTTCCTGACACACAGCAGAGATAAAGTAACAACCCGACAACTTTCCTTGGCCTTTTCCCAGCCCGCCGCAACTTGCAAGGAGGAAAACTGTGACTGGAGAGAGAGGGAGAGACAGAGAGAGAGAGACAGAGAGAAACAGAGAGAGACAGAGAGAAAGAAACAGAGAGACAGAGAGAAACAGAGAGAAAGAAACAGAGAGAGAGAAACAGAGAGAGAGAAACAGAGAGACATACACACAGAGAGACGAAGTCAGAGAGAGAGCGGGAAAGAGAGAGACAGAGAGAGAGACAGAGAGAGAGACAGTCAGAGAGACAGAGACAGAGAGAGAATTAAATTTCTTAGCCACCCTCTCCACCAAAGCCCAAACCGTTTGAAAAAGGGTTTTCCAAACTTATGACAATCGCTTTCCTGACAAATTAGTTCTACGCAGCGCCCGTTGTTGTGCTTAAAGATCTTCAGGAAGGAGCAGAGAACAAACGTTAACAATACAAAAATTGACAATCGCCCGAGGGAGAATTCTGGGTTCAGGTAGTCTTCAACTTATAACCAGAATTGGGACAGGAATTTCGACCACTAAGTGATACAGTTGTTAAACGAGTCCTCCCGTCACCGGACTTGATTTTACAACTATTTTTACCATGGCCTTTAAGTGAATCACCACAGTTTGCTAAGGGAATCCCGAGGCCGTTCAATGAACTGCGTGGTCATTGAGCGAATCTGACTTCCCCTATGGGATGTCGCTTGTGGGAAACTACCTGAGAAGATCACCAAGCGTGATCACCTGACCATAGGATGCTGCAACCAGTTGTAAGTGTGGACCAGTTGCAGAATGCTCGAATTACAATCCTGTAAACTGCAGTTATAACTGTGGTGCAACCGTCATAATGCTGAGGACAGATCGTAAATCATTTTTTTCCGAGGCTGCCCTAACTTTGAAGAGCTATAAGTTGAGGTCTATCTAAATGCCTTCCGTTGACAGCAAGGGCGAAGGCTGAGGTATCTTCTTGAGAAGATAAAAGAAAGAGGTCTTGAGGAGAGGTGCTTGCGATGTTCTCTTTGACAGTTACAAAGTCTGCTTAAAAGGTGTTCACCCCTGTAGCTATTATACAAACTGTGTACAAGGTTGGATAAGATGTTCTCTAAAGACTCGTTCAACTGCCCAAAGAGGCAGAAGATGGCCTCCGACGAAGTCAGATCTCTGGGGTAGCATATTTTCCATAGGGTCCATTCACTCTGGAGGCCATGGAAATGTGGCAGACGTCCTTCCAACACAGCAAGGCATCGAGATGTCCTCCCAGGCCAAAGTCAAGGGCCTCACTGATGAGTTTTCAAATCAGTTACATTCCCAATTCTTCAACACAGTACCAAAGGGACAGACTATTTTTTTATTATCAGAGTCAGAACTTGTTTTAAAAACAAAATATTGACATGGAGACTATCTGGTGGAAAGCAACATTCAACCTGTCTTTTAAGAGCCTGGGTTAGTGATTTTGAATTCTTCTAATGGTTCTTTCAAAGAACCTTCCGTTGACTATTTTACTTCTTATTTTGGAGGGCAAAAAAAAGGAAGAATTAGTTTTATGGGCCACTGAATTTGAGGGGTGAAACTTAGGCATGATTTGATGTGGCGATGTGGTTATAGGTTGTTCAGTGGTGTAAATTTAGTCATTTGGAAGCAACAGTAAATAGAAGTCCAGAACACAATCCTCGGAAGCTAAGACATTGATAAGAACATACCATGAGCTCCATTTGTCTCCAAAGGTCTTCCAGATTGGCCATTGGCTTGTCCCACCAGTCGGTGCATCTTCTGTACCGTTTCCACTGGAACCAAAACTGTCGAAGCCATTCAAATTCCACCTGTAAAAAAAAAAAAAATGACTGTGGTTTATAACAGTCTCCTTTTTCAATTGACTTCCAGTCTGAACCCTGTTTAGATCATTCTCCAGATCTCTGAAATGTGCTTTGCCAAAAGGCAACTGAACTTTCTCGGATGTTTTTTTTTTAATGTTTTGCTTCTCATCCAAGAAGTTTCTTTAGAACTGATTGGTGACAGGCCAAAGTCACTCAGTTGGCTTTCATGGCCAAAGCGGGACTAGAACTCACTGTCTCCTGGTGATTGGCTTAAAGTCATGAAGTTGGCTTTCATAGCTAAGGTGGGACTAGAACTCACTGTCTCCTGG